CTTTAACTATCCCCGGGTTCGAGAGTTTCCGTTTCATGCAATTGAAGAAATCAAGAGTGTAGTTGTTTCTATATTTTTGTTCCAACTCTTCCCTTGAGTGTTTTGAAAGAAGCAAAGTGGTTGTAGCCTGTCAATTAATATGGCCTTTTTTGAGTTTGAAGTGTATTGTAGGTCCCTGAATTATTTTAAAGGTGTCACGTAGATCTCCTGACTATGAAAATTATTATCTAGGTCCTCAAAGTGTAATAAGTGTGTCATTCCGGTCTGAGGACCTTTATTTTGTCTAACATGACACACTTACTGCGAGGACCTGAATGACGATTTTCATAGTTTGAGGACCTACTTGATACCTTTGAAATAGTTCAAGGATCTACTGTGCACTTCACTCTGTTTTATAACTTTATAAAGTGAATCCAGTGGCGGAGACAGGGAGGGGGTGGGGGCGAGCAGGGGCTCCCCCCCCCTAACGATCGAGCGATGCTGTGGCGACTAGCGATACAAAGGCACGTATTTCCCACGTATATACATACTTGCCCCCCTCCCTCCCCCCTATCTCAACGTTGATTCTGGAAAAGGAAAAAGGCCCATGTGAAGCCCACTAGCGACCAGGTAGGGCGTTGCATTCTCCTGTGATGATTAGCCTGTACGTGGATTTTCCTGTGAAGAGAAAAGCGCCGCCATACACCGTTAAGATTAATTCATTTTTTAGGCTTGTTGCTTCAAGTTCTCAACCTAGTGAAAATTTCATTGAGGCTGATATGTTGGACATAGTAAATGTTGCAGAAGAAGAACAAAATTGGCTTATCAGAAAGACCCTGGTAAACATTGTTAAATTTGAGAGCTGCCACTGGACAAGCAAGACGAAGATCGACATTTTTATATATCCAAGGGACCGTATCGGCCGAAAAGTGCCTCGAAACACTCTAAACAGTAATTATCATTTAAGCGCCGCCAAATGGGATATGACTTATTTCGGTGTTACATGATCAGATACATTGAAAAAATTAGTTGATAATTTCTCTTCCAATGAAATTATTAAATTTTCTCATCTTATTGGTAATTGACTAATTGTAGAGGAAAATTAAAACTCGTACCAATGTTTTATAGGTGTGGCGCATTATTACACTACGATGATAGTTTTTCAGTCGAGACAAAAAAAATATTACACTACCGAAAAAGGGAAGATTTTTGCCCTAGTTTCCTTTCGAGAGGGGAAATAAAGACTTACTAGCACTCAGTCTGAGTTACCTCAATCGTAGTAATTTATGATCTGTAAAGTGAATGTATAATATTTTTTAGGACATGCTTGTTTCACCGCGACGGTTATGGTATGCCACACTTAGCTGAATTTCTCACACTTGTATGCACGCACCTTTTCGAATCTTGTTACACTTGTGGTGACGAATTTGCTCAGAAAATCATTTTTTGGGGCTTTGCTGCTTAGTAAGAAAAAGCATGGCAAAATCTGGCTATGAACAATACATCATATGTTAAGATCATCTTCAACAGCCGCCTAATGCGTGGCGCTCAAAAAATGGATTTACAACGCGTAAGTAGTATTTTTTAGGACGCCAGAAAACGTTTACTCCAACAAGCGTTGTAAGATATGCAGTGCGCGCGAGTTCAGCGGTCCCAATCAAGCAGTCCAGAGTTTGTAGCGCGCGCGATCGGGCGCACTAAATATGCTGCGCGCGATGCCTTTTTAATGCGCGTGCTGCATTAGTTATAGCGTGCACACGCTTTTTGTGCGGCTGCTGGAGACTTCAAATCAGGTCCACGCGCGCTAAAAGCAATTTTTATACCGTGCGTCGATTATATAGCGCTTCTGTTGGAGATGCTCTAATGGGAATGGTAACATGATTCTGCTGAAAACGTGTTAAGATGTTCCAAAATTGCTAAAGCGGTCTATTTCCTTTTATCAGAGGAAGTGAGTTAGAATGGTAACGTGATTCTGCTGAAAACAATTGTACTCACTCCTACTGTAGAATGGTAACGTATGTCTTGGACATTTGACCGTGGAATCGATCATGTCGACGGCGCCGCCGGGTCGAGCAGGCCACACTCGAAGTTGGTGTGCTCGAGGAACGGCCCCAGCCTGACCAGCCTCGGGATGACCACGCCGTCCCGCGCCGCGCACACCACCGGGTTACCCCACTGCACCAGCGCGCCGACGAGCCCCGCGCGCGCCGTCAGCGGGAACACTCGCCCCCACCTCTCGCTCTCGTACCCGCGCAACGCCTCGCCGACTTCGCTGCCCGCGAGCACCGCGGGTGCGAGGTGGCGCGCCAGGACGACGGCGTCCTCGAGCGCGCAGCACGCGCCCTGGCCGAGGTTGGGCGTCATCGGGTGCCACGCGTCGCCGACGAGCACCACGCCGCCCCTGGACGCCGGGGGCGCCAGCCCTGGCCAGAGCCAGCGGTCCACGAGGGGCGTCTTCACCACGGCGTCGTCCGGCGTGCTCCGCATGACGGCGACGAGGTCCTCCGGCCAGTCCCGCACCAGGCCCAGGGCCTCCCTCTTGAGCGCCGCGCCGTCCGTGGCCTTGGGCCCTGCCATGCCAACGCCAATGCCAATGCCATGCAAGATCAGTCAGTCGAAGCAACTTGATCATTTCGCAAAAAAAAAAAAGAAGCAACTTGATCAGACCTCGCCCTCTCATGTCAATATGTCATATCAAAATGAAGTACTACCTGGGGTCGCGCTGTTGAAGCAGATGAACCAGTAGACTTTGGTCGGGGAGACCGGGACGAAGCCGGCGCGGACGCCCCGGCCGTAGATGTAGTTCACCTTGGACTCGAACGGCTGCCCGCCGGCGTAGTCCGCGAGGCCACGGAACGCCATGTGCCCCACGTACCGGGGCTCCGAGAACCCCATCCACCTCGCGATCGGGGAGTTGACGCCGTCGCAGCCCAGCACCACTTTGGACAGGAGCCGCCTCCCGTCCTGGAGCTCCAGCAGGGTGCCGTCGGGCCCTTGGCCGGCGATGGACTTGAGCCTGGACGAGAAGGAGATGGCGCCCGGCGGGAGCTTGGAGGCCATCGTCGCGAGGAGCGCTCCCCTCTCCACCGCCCGCACCTCCTGCCTGACACATACATCCGTAATTAAAGCAGAGCAAATCGATGCAAGAACACAGGGCGAGTGTTGAGACGACATACGTACCCAGGAGCCTCCTCCTCGAAGGAGAACTCGCGCAGGTCACGCCCGCCCGCCGACGACCGCATCCTCATCCTGCGACCAGCTGAAACCTCGCAGTTTAAGCACTGGACGCATGAAGGAAGGAGAGAGGAGAAGTGCTAGGTAGGTGTAGTGTACCCCTGGACGCGGAGGTACTTGGCCCGGAGCTCGTCGGCGACGCCGATGGAGTCCAGCACGCGCCACCCGTTCTTGAACAGCGTCAGCGACGTGCCGCCCGCGCGCAGGGACGGGCCCTGCTCCAGCACGGTGGCGCTCACGCCGAGCCGGCGCAGGGAGAGCGCGGTGGCCAGACCCGCGATGCCCGCGCCCACGATGACCACTTCCTCCGCCTTAGTAGAGGAGGACGACGACGACGCAGAGACGGCACCCCGGCGACGGCGATGATACGAGTCGGAACAAGGGTGACGCGCAGGGGAGGACACGAAGGTGCTCAGCGGTGCCATGGCAACGACGAGCATTTCTTGGACAGGAGCACGCCATACGCAGCAGGAGGCTGGTGGTTTGGGGGTCTCGGGTTCGCAAAGCGAAAGGATTTGGAGCCACACGTCCGGCAACAAGATTCAGAGACAGGGGACAAGACACGTCCACCACCTCGCTGCGATCCAGAAACTTTGCGTCCCAGAGATTTACTGCGAACTTCAGTAATCAACTTCAGCATCACTCACAATCCGCAAATATGAGATTTAAACATCAACAATCCCTCGGTTCAGAAAATAATATTAAAGTAATACCATAACGCCTGGACAGCATGGCAAATCAAACGTCGAACATTGCAAGTTTATTAACGCAAGGATAACAACTTTAGTTGGCAAACATAGTAACTTAATACTTCAGTTTATTTTTAACAGAAAATTACCATGTATATCAACTAACTTGCAATCCTTGCGTCATTAAAATTGCCATCGAAAATGTTCGGTTTTCCATGTGCTCGTACCTGACGTTAGGTACTTATCATTTCCTTAATTAAAAGCCGAGGCATTTCCCTTCTCTAGTTCTACTTAGAGAAAAGTATACTTTTCGTCCCTCAACTCTTTGTAAAGTTTAGTTTTCGTCCCTCAACTCAAAAACCGGACAAAGTGCACCCCGAACTCTCGAAACCGGTCACTTTTTGTCCCTACTGCCGAGTCAAACCAGTTTTGACCGCGCGTAAACAGTACACCGATGAACAGTAAATTCGAAAAAAATAGCAAAAAAATTCAAAAAAATCTGAAATTTTATGGCATCGAAAATACTCAGGTGCGCCACGTGCGTGCAAATTTTCATCGTGTTTGGAAGTTCGAGAAGCACGCAGCAAAAAAACAAAAGTAAATGTACACTGAAGTGAACAGTAAAATAAAAAATAGCAAAAAAATTCAAAAATTTCTGAAATTTTTTGGCATCGAGGATGCTCAGGTGGGCAAGGTGCGTGCAAAATTTTGTGGTAAAATGCGAGTAAAATTTTGTGGTAAATTTCAGAGTTGAGGGACGAAAAGTATACTTTTCTCTTCTACTTACGATTTACTAGTTTTCTCTCTCCTTGATGAAATGCAGAGCTCTTCTGAGATGTCAATCAATTTAAGAACAAAAGGTTAAACTCCCCTGCTAGGTTTATCTTATTTCAGACAACTGCACTGAGGTGGCAGCAGTTACACTTGCATCAAAGGAAATGCAGAAGCCATACAGGTTCAGGCAACACATTCAAGTTCGGTTATTAACATCATCACGCAGCACGAAATCTAATCATCGACTCGGATAGCCAGACCGGGACAAGCTCGAATTCTGAAGAAACGAGGCATCAACAAGTAGAAGTAGATGATCGTGTGAGCTCAGTTCTCGTAGATCCAAGGGTGGAGGTTGCTCTTCCATTCGGCTAAGCCTCCTGGGAACCACAGAGCGATCTCCTTCTTTCCGTTCTCCACAGAATCACTTCCATGAATCACATTCCTGCACAGCAGAAAATTTGAGTTCAGTCTAAGGAACCAGTATTATCCGTTAAGTTTTAAGCAAAGCTACAAATGAACACCTCCGTCTGCTGCACTGCAAACATAGACAATTGATCATAGTTGTACAAACTCAAGACAATATTACTACTCTCTACTCGCATACTCCTCACCAAGAAAAAAAGACATTGATAGTTGTGACCAAAAAGGAGTTCAGTGATCAATGTACAAAAAACATTTGCTCACCTGCTAACCTCCACAGCATGGTCACCACGGATGGTGCCGGGAGCCGCCTCCCAAGGCCTGGTGGCCCCGATGATCCTGCGGCCAGTCAAGACAACATCCTTCCCCTCCCACACCATGGCCACAACAGGGCCGGAAATGATGTAATCCACCAACTTGGCAAAGAAGGGCTGGGCAGAGAGATCGGCATAGTGCTGCTGCGCGAAGGATTTATCCACATTCATAAACTTCATCCCTGGATCATCACATTTCCAAACAACTTATTAGCACCAAAATAATTCAACCAGTGATTGTTTATGGGCTATTGGATGTGTGAATCATCGAAGGCAATGATTATAAAAGCTGAACCGAAAAAAGTTTCAGATGAGTTCTTCTCTTCACATAATTTACGATGACGTTTGCTTTTTGTTTCACATTCTAATCCTTTTTATTACTTATATTGTGTGGCAACAACTAGTAGCCATTAGCCAATGTAACAAGTAGTGTATTTCACCGAGGGCCGCACTTATAGAAGATTGTGACAGATTGTCCATGTTTTAAACTATATCCACATTTAGCAACGAAAGAAAAAGGTCCAACCTGCCAATTTGTAAAATCTGGCAGCAAGGTAGTTTATTACAATTAAATTCAGCGAGGAGTATATATTTTTTGTAACAATTTAATACCATGGTGAAGATATCATTTACCTGTGAACTTGTGTTATTGTGGTCGTCATACTATTAGTAGGCACTTGTGTGTTACAGTTCCGATTCAAAGCAAATTAATAATTTTCCTCCTACCCAAAAAGGGCAATAGCATATTTATGCATTGGAAAAGCACTAACTTTTGGAAGGTGTAAAAGCACTACTTCATCTCTGCTCAAAATGATTTCATGTTCAAACTGAGGCAGGCCCCAATTATGGTTTTTCTCACAAAAAAGAGTACTACTTGATTTTCCATCAAGTTACAAATAAATAACCACTTTTATATCTCTGTTATAACATACTCCCTCCGTTCCTAAATATTTGTCTTTCTAAAGATTTCAATAAGTGACTACATACGAAGCGAAATGAGTGAATCTACACTCTAAAAATATGTACATATACATCTGTATGTGTTGTCCATTTGAAATCTCTAAAAAGACAAATACTTAGGAACAGAGGTAGTACATAATACAACCCAAAAGTAGATCTAAGTGGCGAAATTAATTGTCTAAGCCAGATCAAGAAGCAGAAACTGACGAATTAGGAAGGAAAAGGGTTCCTAGGTCATACTGATCAGGTAGGAACAAAGGACACCCTCTTACCCTTCAAGTAGTACCCTTTCTTCTCGAATCGGCTGATGATATCCCCGATCTGCAGAAGAGAAATTGCAAACACGAAACCGATGATCAGAGACGGTTCCAGTAACCCGGAGACGAAACCGATCGCGAGATAAAGACAAGCACGTAGGGGTTGTTCCTTGCAGAGACGGGGGTTGGGGTTTACCAGGCCTCTCTGGACGCCGTCGGGCTTGATCATGATGAAAGTCTGCTCCATGATCGGGGAAGAAGAGGCTCGCGGAAAAGGCGGAGGCGATCGATCACGCGATGGGGACGGAGAGGAGCCGGGGATGTGAAAGGGGTGGAGAGGCCTCCCCTGTTTTATATGGGGTGCTGGGGTGATCAGTTGTGTTTCTGGATACGGACGCTGTGAGTGGGGAGTGGAAGGGAAAGCGGCGATTTATGTGGGCGTTTTATAAATCGATCGCATACGACGGAGTCAATGACCAGTAGGCCCGTTTAACAGCAGATCTGGGATTTTTGTCGTGGGAGTAGCGGCCCGGCCTGGCCCGCGTAGTACTCCTGGCCCGTGTAGCCCGATCTACACATGCCCACAAATCCGGCAACAACTAACTAGAGAGCACCAAACCCTCCTCGCGAAAGTGCATCAAGTACTTTTTCCCTCTCGCTAGGGTTTCTGTTTCTCTCGCCGCCTCTGGCGACGTTGAGTTTGCTTTCCCTCGCACCGGAGAAGTAGGATCGGCAGCGTCGGGTCCGGGGTAGTCCTGCACTGCCAAGGTCCGGGGGCTGATCTCGCAGTCCTGGAGCGCTAGGGTTTTCCTCCTTCAAGAAGATCGGTTTGCCCGCAGGTCTGATCGCGATGGCAGGTAGGGGGAAGGCGTCGGCGGTTGATCGCAAGGGGAAGAGCAATCTGGAGGAGATGATGCAAGATTTGGCCCTTAAGGAAGATGATCTAGATGATGTGATTTTTGAGGATGACGATGCCCCAGAGGAGGCGGCGCTCCGTTGGATGATCATAGCTCGAGTCCATATGGAGAAGGACTACAGCACCTATTGGTTCTTCCGCAATATGAGAACAGCATGGGACCTCGCAAGGCCAGTCAAGATCAAGACTTTGGAGGAGAATCTTTTTCAGATGCAGTTTGATTGTTTGGGGGATTGGGAGAGAGTATCACAGGGGGGCCCGTGGCACTTCAGGGGGAACCCAGTCATCATCGCCCCGTATGATGGTTTCTCAAAACCATCGTCGATTGAACTGTGGACTTTTGAGATATGGGCTAGGATCATTGATCTTCCAATGGCCTACCACAGGAAGATCCAGGCGCTTGCATCAAAGATTGGCGAGTTCGTCGACTCAGAGCCTTCCTCGTTTGATTTTGAAGGAAATTTTTATAGAGTGAGAGTCCGGCTGGATGTTCGTCAACCGCTGAAGAGGGCCATATCCTTGATCCGGGGAGGCCAGAGGGAGATTTTTGCGGTGAAGTATGAGCGACTGCCAGACTGGTGTCAGGTTTGCGGCATGATGGGGCACGAGTTCAAAGAACATGGTGACGGGGTGCATCCCCCTTCTGCTCTTGTGTTCAAAAATCTTAGGGCCCCGGCAACCACTGCCTGGGGAACCCGGCGTCGCAACAGGAACAGGCAAAACAACTATCAAAATCAGCAGAAGGAGGAGCAGATGGGGCATAACCCCGGGACAAGCAATGATGGAGAGGCAGCTGAGGGCATGGAGCTGGACACCACAAGGAAGCGGACGTCTGATCAGGTTGTTATCTCCCCGAACATCAAATTAACGGGGATGGAACTGGTACCAGTATCGAAGCCTGTTGGGAATGAGAAGGGGGTCCCAATTAGTCCACCACCGAAGCAAGATACAAAACGGTCCAAACTCATGGTCCAGTTGGGGAAGCCAGCAAGTTCAAATGACAAAGAGGGGTTGGCTGATACGGTGAAGAAGAACCCCAATGGGGTAAAGAGCTCGGACGCGAGAGCGGCGGCCTCCGTGACGGAGGACCGCCGAACGCAATGAATCTTCTAAGCTGGAACTGCCGGGGGATTGGCAACGCCCCGACAGTTCAAGAACTTCGCGAACTCGCGAATAAGTTTGCCCCTAAAGTGCTTTGTATAGTTGAAACCCAAATAAGTGGGGAGAGAGCTGAAAACTTAAAAAGTTCTTTAGGTTATGATTGTTCTTTTGCTGTTGATGCCTCCGGTAGGAGTGGAGGCTTAGCTATGTTTTGGAATAATGAAATAAACATCGATATTTTGGGTTACTCCAAGTACCACATAGATGGAAAGGTGACAGGTCTAGGGGATCAACCGTGGAGGCTCTCCTGTTTCTATGGAGAAGCCCAGACCCATCTTCGCTATCACACATGGAATACGATGAAAAATTTGGCAGCTCTCCAAGATATGCCGTGGGTGTGTATCGGGGACTTCAATGAAGTTCTGAAGCATGATGAACATGATGGTATTGGGTCGAGAAGTCAGACACAGATTCAGGGCTTCAAAGATGCGGTAGATGTTTGCGGTCTACTCGACCTTGGCTACAAGGGCATCAAGTGGACTTATGAGAAAAGAGTAACAGGCGGATCGTATACGCGAGTCAGGCTTGATAGAGCTTTGGGATCGGTGGACTGGTGTGGTCTGTACCCACAGGCGGCTGTCCATCATGTCACATCAGCGACATCTGATCATTCTACCATATTACTGCAGCTAACCCAACCAAGCGGAGGACCGAAGACGAAGCAGTTCATGTACGAGGTGATGTGGGACACCCACCCTGATTTGAAACCGACGGTGGATGCAGCTTGGGAGCCCAACGGCCTTAATCAAACGGTGAGTGAAGTTCGCGCAAAACTCGAGGCCCTAGCAAGTAACCTTGGCGTATGGTCAAGATCAACTTTCGGTAGTGTGAGAGGAGAGATACAAAGCCTCAAGAAAGAGCTAGATCGCCTTCGGAGTGACATAACAAGGGCCGGACCTTCTCATGCGGAGATCAAAATTAACGACCGGCTAGTCGAGCTCTATTTGCGTGAAGAGTTGATGTGGAGACAGAGGTCTCGTGTCCAGTGGCTAGCTGAGGGGGACCGTAACTCTCGTTTTTTCCACATGCGCGCCTCCATGCGGAGAAGGAAGAATCTGATAAAGGCCTTGCAGAAACCAGATGGAGAATTGACCACGGAGTTAACGGAGATGCAGCAGATGGCTTTGGACTTTTATAAACAGCTGTACACTTCGGAGGGAGTGGAGGGGGTGCAGGACGTTCTTCAGCATGTGCCTACAAAGGTTACGGCGGAAATGAATGCAGCATTGTTGGCTCCGTATGAAGCGAAGGAGGTTAAGACCGCTCTTTTCCAAATGTTTCCTACAAAAGCTCCCGGTCCAGATGGGTTTCCGGCACACTTTTTCCAGAGACACTGGGATGTATGTGGAGAAGCTGTCACGAGAGCAGTACTGGCCATTATTAGGGGCGAGGAGAGCCCTGCATGTCTGAATGACACCCTTCTGGTCCTTATTCCTAAGGTATCCAATCCAAACTTATTATCTCAGTTCCGGCCCATAAGCTTATGTAACGTGTTTTACAAGATCGCCTCGAAAGTTCTAGCAAATCGCCTCAAGCTAATTCTTCCGGAGATAATTTCGGAGGAGCAGTCGGCCTTTGTGCCAGGAAGACTCATTACTGACAACATAATCTCGTCTTATGAATGCTTGCATTTTATGGAGAAAAACAAGTCAAAGAATAACAGTTTTGCAGCACTGAAACTTGACATGATGAAGGCATACGATCGAGTGGAGTGGTCCTACCTACGATCGATTATGGAGAAGTTGGGTTTTGCGGCACCATGGGTTTCAGTTGTGATGAATATGGTGAGCTCAGTTTCTTTTTCAGTTATGTTCAATGGTGTGAAGTCAGAAGCTTTTCATCCTACGAGGGGGATTCGTCAGGGAGATCCAATCTCTCCATACCTCTTCTTGTTAGCAGCAGAGGGCCTATCGTGCCTCTTAAAATCCCAAAATCAATCATCCCAGCTCAGCGGCATTAAGGTGGCACCGTCGGCTCCGGCGGTGAATCACCTTTTATTCGCGGATGATAGCCTGCTGTTTTTCAGGGGGAGTGTTGATGGAGCGGAAGCAGTATCAAACCTGTTGAATACATATTGTTTGGCATCAGGTCAACGGATCAACAAAGATAAATCTACAATCTTTTTTAGCAAGGGAAGCCCAGAGATAGTACGTGCTGCGGTCAAAGGCCATTTGCAGGTCCCTAATGAATCATTGAGCGACAGATATTTGGGTTTGCCAACAGACGTGGGCCACTCAAAAAAGGGTACTTTCAAATATTTGAGTGACAGAGTTTGGGACAAGGTAAAAGGTTGGATGAGCAAATGCCTATCAGCAGGTGGAAACGATGTGCTAATTAAATCAGTGGCTCAGGCCATCCCGGTGTTCTCGATGTCATGCTTCAAACTCCCAAGAGGTTTATGTGATCATATAAAATCCATAATCAGGAAGTTTTGGTGGGGGTGCAAACAGGGACAACGTAAGCCGGCTTGGGTTTCCTGGGATGTGATGACACGTCCTAAACATCTAGGCGGGCTAGGTTTCAGGGATCTGGAGATTTTCAATCTAGCCCTGTTGGCTCGCCAAGCCTGGCGACTACTACAAGAACCAATGAGTTTGAGCGCAAGAATTTTGAAGGCCGCATATTATCCAAACAATTCGGTTCTTGATGCGGAGTTGGGACCAAGGCCGTCTCAGATTTGGCGGGCTATATTGGAAGGACGTGATATGTTGAGGCAGGGGCTCATTCGTCGGATTGGTAATGGGCACTCAACGGAGATTTGGACGGATAACTGGATTCCGAAGGAGATGACGCCACGGCCTATTGTCTCGTTGGTTCCTCACCCTCCCAGGCACGTTTCGGAGCTGCTCTCCCCGGCGACAGCCTCATGGAATGAGGGTTTGGTCCGGTCCGTGTTTTTGCCTATAGATGCTGAGGCCATATTGAAGATTCCGGTATGCACCCGCAACGTTGAGGACTTTTGGGCGTGGTATCCGGATAAGAAAGGCAAATTTAGTGTCAGTTCGGCTTATAAGTTTTTGCTCAAGACAAAATTACAGAGGGAGGAGTGGTTAAATGGAAGTAGCGGAACATCTCACACCGATAAGGACGAAAAAGCATGGACTTCCTTGTGGAAATTTAAAATCCCGTCGAAGGTGAGGATCTTTCTTTGGAGGTTAGCTCATCACTCA